TCTGCAGAAATCATGGGAACAGGGATTTTAAGTCCCATCCTCTTAAGTCTTCGCTGTACCCCCTGAGCATCCTCATGACCTTCCTGTGCTTTTGTACCATATCGGTACTGGGATTGGAAGACAGGGTCTTTGATTGGAGTCACCTCATATTCTTCATTCACTAGCCGCGTTCCTGTTCTACTTTTAGCCCAGTACTTCACTGACTCAGTGACTCCTGTGATCTCTTCATTTTCTGAGGCAGCAACACAATATAATTTTCCCTTGGACAAATCTACCTTGAACTGAGACAGGAAATTCATTCCTAAAATGTTTGGCCCCCCTTTTACCAAAATTATCTGCCCCTCCAATTTATCTTCCCCTATGCACAACTGGACTTCTACTTCTTTCCCCTTCACTTTTCCCCCTCCTACTCCCCAAATCCAGACAGATTTACCTGGGAGTGGAGGACCCCAGTAATCTAGTAAAGTTGCTTCTGATCCTGTGTCAACTAAGAAAGTATTTGCAACTTCCCACCCCCTCTTCAACAGACATCGCACCCCCACGTAGCCCCTTCCCCCTGAATCCCAAGTCAGTGTGGTGGAGGTTAATCCCACTGACACCAGGGGTAGGGACTCCTAATCTTTAAGGTCCCTTAAGGATGGGTATAGTTTTCTCTTTGGAATAGGAGGAGGAACTGATGGCTTCATCTGCTCCAGTTTTTCCCAGACCTCCTCTTGCTTCATCCCCTTTTCCTGAAGGATTTTCTTCATTTTGGCAAGTAAAACTCCTGTGGGCTGACTATCTAGCTCTTCTTCATTCACCCCCTGATTTATTAAAAACCTCCAAATTATTCCTCTAGGAATGTACTTCCTAGTCTTTACCCCTATCACTCCCTTCTTTGCTTCGCCTTTCCCCCCCGCTCCCATAAGCGTCCCCACGTTCTCTAACGTAGCCATGCATTCACCAAGGGGCCGACCAATTAACGTAGATCCCAGGCTGATGAAAAATCCCTTATGCAATTCTGGAGCACGGCAGGCCAATACCCCAATGTCTCCTTGTTCCGCATTCACTCCATATATGTCAAAGTCCGGGGTCACTGGCTTCTCCCTTTGCTTTAATACCCGGAGTAGTACATTCCCACACACATAGGCTGACGCCTCCTGAACATCTGTCCAGGGCGCCCCCTCCATGTTATCTTTTAGGGGCTCATATTCTCCCAGATTTCTAATCACCAGCCTTAGGATTTCTCCCCCAGATGTCTCGTTGGCAGGCAAGGCTCTGATGATTGCCCCTACCTTTGGCCAAGGTAGCCCTATGGCTATTACCACCCGCTTAGCCTCCTCATGGGTGAAAGGAGTGCACTGTTCTAAAGTCCAAATCCTGTTTACCCACACAGGCCAACCCTCCTTCTGCTTCTTCCATACCTTCTCTTTCCTGGACATATCCCCCACTCCCTGGGTTTTTAAAGCTATGTCTCCCTCCACTGGTCTTATTTTTCTAGTAACCACAGCAGCTACCCCTTGCACTGTAGAGTTTTCCTCGTCCTCCAAATTCCAAATATCCCCATCCCACGTTTCTGGGTCCCAGTCTGTCTTACTCAAAGCTGCTACTTTCCTATGATCTAACCCTTTCCCTAGAGCTAACAGCGTACCCAAGCACTGCACTTTTTTTCTTAATCGGACATTATCAGCATTCTCTGCCCTTAGCTTTTCTTTCAACTCTCTTAGTTGCTCAGCCTGTTCATTTAGCAGAGTGCTATCACATCGTAGTGCTAGTATCTCATTGTGTGCCACTTGTAAATTATTTTGCAAGTTCTTTATACACTGTTCTTTTTCTTCTATTGCCGTTTGTAAGGCACTGGCCAGATCAAACAATAGCCACTGCAGAGCTGAGCATTTCTTTTCTCCTTTAGGATGATACACGGATATATAATTTACCCAGTGTCTTTCAGCAGCTTTGAGAGTGGGATCCTGGCCAAAAACTTTGTAATCCCAAGGATCTCCTCCATGTTCTAGCATAGCCTGTACTAACAGACCTCTCTCCTCCTGATTGAGAGAGCTTTCGGACTCCTCCTTCTCCTTCGATTTGCCCCCCCTCGTTAACCAAGACATCTTAATATCACTTAGCTCAAGTTCTGAACTGGGAGTATCCTGGACAAGCCCACACTCAGCACTGAGGTTTGGCACTCAAACCCCTGCAGATGAGAGACTCACGATGTACCTGAAGCAAACTGATCAGGAAGGTTACCGAATGACGAACACACGTCTAAGAAACTGGCCAAGCAGTAAAATAATCTATAACCTAAGTAACACAGCACTAAGACTCATTTAGAGCGGCAGAGCTACGTAGACCTTTGTGCAGAACTACGGAGCGGCGAGTTGTACATCTCAAAGCTAACGAGCCCTGTGCGCAGCCAGCACGAAGCTACAGCTCCCCGAGTGCCCAAGTGCCAGTCCGTTCCCCCCACGCCGAGCCTTACGGTCAGAGGCGCCGGGGCGAGTCCAGCAGGTGACCGCGGGCGGCCGTCCCGGCGGCCGTGG